GCACAGCCCGCCTGCTCAGACATAAACAAATAAAACAAAAAAGCAGGACAAAACAAACAAAGCTACAATCAATAAATGAGGAAAATAACTACTGAATGTCCCAAAGACAGCAGACAGTATCAAAACATATACAAAAACAGGACAGGATGGTTCCAGTAGGCATCCAAAGTAAAACACCAGATGACTTTCCAGTAGAAAAAAAGGCACTAGAACTACCTGATAGGGAATTCAAATCTCTAATATTCAGAGCTATCCACGAGTTGAAGCAAAAAGCAGACAAAAATGAGGAAAAAACAGACAAATTCATGGAAAAGGCAGGCAAATTCATGGAAAATACAGACCAAAAAATGGAAGAATTCAGGAAAAAAATACAGGAACAAAATGCCAAAATAAATGCACAACTAGAAATCATACAGAAACAACAATTAGAAATCAAAAAAATAAACAACAAGATTTCAAAAGTGGACAGTGTCACAGAAGGGCTGAGGAGCAGGTTTGAAACAATGGAAGGCAGAATCAGTGAAATTGAAGACAAACACTTGGCTACATCTCTATTTGAGGAAAAATCAGAAAAAAGTATGAAAAAAGAAACCCTGAGAATTATGTGGGATACAATCAAAAGTAAAAATTTACAAGTGATCGGAGTTCCAGAACAGGAGGAGAAAATAGAAAACACAGAGCGGATCATTGAAGAACTGCTGACAGAAAAGTTCCCCAACATCATGAAAGATGAAAAGCTAGCCATACAAGAAGCTCAACGAACCCCATATAGGATAGATCCCAAAAGAAAATCACGAAGACATATCATAATCATACTCGCTAAAAGCAAAGACAAACAAAGAATCCTGAGAGCAGCTTGAGAAAAACAGAAAGTCACATACAGAGGAGAAACAATAAGACTAAGCTTGGATTATTCGGCAGAAACAATGCAGGCAAGAAGGCAATGGGCTGACATATATAAAACCTTGAAAGAAAAAACTTGTCATCCAAGAATAGTATATCCTGCAAAACTCTAATTCAAATATGGTGGTGAAATTAGGACATTTCCAGATAAACAGAAATTAAGGGAGGGACTATGTAAAAACCAAAACAAACTTACAAGAATTATTAAAGGAAGTCCTTCAGTCTGAGAACAAACAACATCAGACCACAGGCTGAATTTAGGATGCAGGATCATACCAGCCAGATACCAACCTAGGAAATGAACTCTCAAGGACTACCCAAAACT